AGAAGAGGGCACAGAGGCTGCGGCCGTTACGGCTGCTGTAATGTCACTCTGCGCTATGCCTTTCAACCAAACATTCAAAGCGAACCATCCGTTTCTGTATCTGTTGGCCACTAAAGGCGATGACAAGAGAATCAATTCAATCGTATTTATGGGCGAATGTTATAATCCTAATGAATGAACACAATTAACACCATTTTATAGCCATAAGTGATAACTACATCGCGAATGGCTTTAATCTCTTTAAAAGATCTCTTGAAACCTTAATTACCGTATTATAAAGCTTTATAATTATTAATTATATAATTATCTAAACATATATACCTCTCTTTAAATACTATATAAATAACGAACAAATTATACATTTAAAAGTGATATAATTTAATTGCAAAATAAGTTTTATAAAAGCGTTTTAATACATATAAAAAAGAGTTTATAGAAAAATATCAACATTTTAAAATATTATTATAATAAGTAGAGAATTATAATAATAATAAATAATAATAATTTATAAATATTATATTAATATTTCTGTTATTAATAAACAAAAACTATTAATAAAAGTAAAAAATTATTTTAAAATTCAAGGTATTTATAAATCAATAAGTTTTTTGGTATGAAAGGCAGAGTTAAGGCTTATATATAAATAATTGTAATTCGTTGTAAGAATAAAAGCGCAAAATTTGGATTTGAGTGCAAAACACATTTAAAGCCAATATCTTCTCATTATTCCTCTTAACCTACGGCTCATTGATTGTTAACACCATTATTGACGCCATTATTCTGTTGGTGGTTCCCATCCACAACCCATCCGGCCTGCTGTTGCTGCGCCATCATCTCCCTCTGCATCCGTTCAATCATTTCCTGCATTCTCTTCAGTTCCGCCTCTTTCTCCAGAAGAATGCGGTCTTTAGAGGTGTCGTCAGAAGAGATACTGATATTATTGCGAAGGTCTGAATTAGACTGATTGCGGGCCACCAGTCGTTGGGAGCGGTAGTTCTCGTAGTGTACGTCTTGAGTCACTTCGCGGAGGTCTTGCATATGCGTGACGAGCATTGACCGCAACTTAACAAAGTCCGAGTGTTCGGGATTCTCGGTCTCGACAATACCCCAGCCATAGGCCCGTCCGCGCACTTTACGGCCCTTCACTTCGTGCGTCTCCAGCGATGACGAGACGGCGAACGGAATGGCGGCCTTCAGTTGGCGCACCTGTTCCTTGTAGTCCTCGTCTTCGTCGGGATCGCAATCAGGTATTGAATAGATCTGAATTCCGTGAGTCTTCAGTTCGGCCACAATGCGCTTCTTCAGCGCCTGCACCTCCTCTTTGGTCAGTGAGTCTGATTTGGCGACAATCGGCACTATATTCACCTTATTGTGCAGTGTCTTCATTGTCATCACATCCAGCGGTTTGAGACCGTAATTGTTGGGCGATATAAAGTAGAAGCAGCAGTGAATCCGCGAGTCCGCGATCTGTCGCCGATTCAGACCCGACTCGTCGTTCAGGTATTTCTCGTACTGATCGTCGATATAGTCGATGATTGGCTTACAGTCGTCAACTGAGTCCAGCGAATCACCGAAACCTGGAGTGTCTACCACTGCACGGATCAGACAAACAAAACAAAGACAAACATTGGATCAAATGGACAAAGAAGTGACTGTCATTGTACTGACCGGTGAGCT